GGTGTATCCCTCAGTTGTAAGCCTTCAGGCTTGGTGAGAATAGCAGCTTTGCTGGCTATCTCTTGCTAATCCTGGATTAAACCTAATAGCATTTTCATTCCTACCTTTTTTCAGAAAGTTTTTCATCAAAACCAATTTAATTATCAAGGACACATATGTATTAAGAAAAAACAGTATTCCCTACTTGAAATGTTCAGACTCACAGAGTGTAATTGGTGTGAGAGAAGAGTGAGTAGAACTAACCATTCCCTTGTGATTTTCTAATGTTTACAATGAAGGTTTATTAAGGAAAGGTTAGAAATTAATAGGAACCAATGGAAATGTGCAGCTTTGTAACACTGAACTGGGAGTTACTAGTTGCTTTTGATGAGGATCACAACGGTGGGATAGAAATGGAAGGGAGTAAAGGTCAAAGAAAAGCTTCAGTCAGGGCCAGGTGAAGTCTGATTTAGATAAGAAGGAGCAAGGTTTCCACCACTCATGTCTTAGATGGACTGTGCAAGCTGTAGCAGTTTAATAACTACCTATACAAACGCAGGTGAGTTTTTCTGCTTTCCCCCCCAGTACCAGCTTCTATTAAGACTTTACTACATTATTTGGAGAAATAACAGTAACCTAGACTGTGCCTATCATGGAACTCAATCCACTGTGCAGAAATGATCCAGGGTAAAGAATGTGAACCAAGCATGGCAAATCTGAATCTTTCCTGGTGATTTTCCTAATTACAGAACCCTTTCATATTTTCATGGGGCTATTTCACTGAAAGTCCGAAGTCCAAAGGGAATGTTTAGTTCTTTGGACTTTTAGTCAAATACCTGCCAAATATGACTGTATAAAAAGAGATTGTTCTGCTGCAAAAATAAGAATAGGGAACAGTTCTTGAACATTTATTATGTGTCAAGCACTGTTCTAAACACTTCAGTAACTCATGATTTTAACTTTACTTTTCCAATAACTCTATTCACTTGATTTTATTATTATCCCCAATTTACACAATTGATGATACAGAGAGTACAGAGAGGAACTTAGTAAAAATCGCAAGACTAGAAAATGGGGGAAGCAGGCTTTTAATTCAAACAGTCTAGATTCAGTCTGGATGCTGAACTACCATAGGATACTGATTGTCATTAAGGGAAAAATAAATCTAGCTGGAACACAGGGAAAAAAAGAAGTAAGAGACAAAGAAAGTCATTACTGCATTCACTGTCCCAGTTGCCAATTAGCCTGGCCTTACCCTCGTCCTCCCTGATGAGATGAGTTGATAAATACCATTAAAAGGATTCGATTTTTTTTGTTGTTTCAGCTTAAACAAGTTTGAGTTATGGTTCTGTTACATAAAACCAAAGGATCCTGAAAAATACTCTAGTAAGAGAAGAGAAACCAGATCACCCATGAGGCAGACATATTGCAGTAGGACTTAGCCAGAAAACATGAAAAAAGTAAATGTAGTAGAAAATGTATTGAGGAAACCCTTACCCAAGAATGCGCTCTAACATGAATGAGATATGACATTGAACAATCAGATGCCCCCTGTAGTCCTCAGCTTAGCTCTGTAAAGACATGAAGTGACTCAAGGGATGTTTTGGGACTGCAATTCTGTGAATTTATACTGTGCACAGAAAAAACAAATGGCTTACAGAAATGGATGGAGAAGTCTTCTGGAGAGATGGATGAAAATGGCCTAGAAAAAAAATATGACTGGGGGCTCTGGGGGCTGAGGCAATGGTACATCCGGGAATACCAGGAGAACGAAGGAAGCAAAGGACTGACTGATGAGTAAATCTCAAGACCGAGTGAGAGAAGATGCTACTGATTTATGTGTCTGTGAATTATGCCTGATGTAAAAGTAGTGACTGACTTCTACTATGGTAATATTCATAGACCCTGAAAGTGATGACAGAGACCAGATAACTAGAACAAGAACTTTTAGTTCTATGAATTAAATAATGGAAAATGTGGCTTCATAATTCAGTTGATTTTTGTTTGAGCAATATATTAACCGTCTTTATAAATTGTGAGGAAAACAGTATTTAGATGATTAGCTAGAATCAATGGAGGATAAGAAATTTCCTGTTTTGGTCTTTCCTATATATCTTTCCTGCTTAAAAATAAAAGTTTTATAATATTTTTAGAATATTTAAATATGATCAATGTAAATACTTTTCCAAAATTTATTGAACAGTTTACTGTGATTCTCAGCCCAAACTGCACATTAAACCAAGTGTTGACTTTCAGAATTGACTTACACCTCGGTGCCACTCCCAGAGACTGATTTAACTGGTATGGAGTAAGGCCTGGGTTACCTGGCTGATTCTGATTGAAGCCAGGGCTGGGAAACACTGAGCTATTTTATTGGCCACATAATAACACATCCTTTCTTCAAAGTGAATGAATAAAACTTAACACTGAATTATTGTGTTTTTCACAGGGATTTGGATTAGTCTTAACTCTTCAGTCTTAAGTATGATTCCTATTTGAATTTTTAAAACCAAATGCATTAGTTATAATATTTTAGGCAATTTATATATAAATAGTTTACAACTATAAAACAATTACATGAATGTAAACATTTTAGATTATAAAAAAACAGCATGTTATACTTAAAAATAAAAATTTAAAACAAAAGATTGAGCTTAAAAAGAACACTTATATTCTGTTATAAGTTTGCTATTTTTTTCTTAGTGTGTTTTTCTGCATTAACAGAATTGACAGAATTTTGTTTTCATCAGTTACAACGGAATGTTGGAAATTAGCACTGTGCTAAAGACTTTCCAAGAATGTGAAAATCATTAGCTTAAAGAAACATAAAGTCCAAGACAAGGGGCTTATTTTTTAGTACACCTTGTCATTTTGTCCCAACATTTAAAAATAATTTCTGGAATATGGCTTAATTGGTAGGATTAAGACTATAGGCTAAATATAATACACATGTTCTTACACCTTGTATAAACAAAGCATGAATATCGAAATCAAAATTTAAAGGTTTAGTGAGGTTTTTTTCCCCCCAATTGGAAATATAAAGAAAATTTATATTTTGGAGATTAAAAACACGAGTCTTATTTTTAGAGAACTCTGAATATCTGAACATGAAAAAAGCATGTTCATTGTAGGGATTATCTAATTCATAATTATTTAGGTAAGTCTATTTAGTACCATATGTAAATGTGTTTTAACTTTAATACACAATCACCAATGTGGACAAGATCTTTTATTTCAATTTATACATAAAATCTTCAGAGCACGTTAACATCCTAAACAGTTTTGGATAACATATTTATATTTTCTGCTGCTGTGACTGGGAGTAAATCCTGGATGAAGCATACTAATAAGTAGAGAAAAGTGAGTTGGCTTTTTTCTTATTGGATATTCTACTCAGAGGAGATTCTTTACTGGCAATAAACTTTTTAGTATTATAATGAAATAAATAATTATAATGGCTATTTGTAGACATGGATTCATCTATAAAGTTCAAAATTATGTTACTTTCTGGGCATTCTTTAATTTTTCACTTTATGCTGTATCTATCTATGTGATTATTCCCCATTTTACATATAAATAGAAGACCAGGAATTACAACTGCAATGGTTAAATCTTTTATATTCTCAAAAGATTAGTTAAAATTTCTCTAATATTTTATCATGTTTTAGATGAATGCTTATGAGGAAAACACTTCACTAAGATCTTCTTTCATAAAAAGCAATTACTACATATATATGTGTTGTTTTACATATAATACAAGTACACACAGACACACAGTCTCCCCATTTCTCATGTCATTTTTAACTTAAAGTGTTGAAGTAGAAAAGTAATGATTGTAGCTTCAATACTACTATGTCCATTACCAACATTGAGGATCCACTCTGTATATAGTCTCAAAGATATTAACAGATTTGTCTTTGATAAAATTGAGAATAATCTAGAAACTCTGTTTCTCTTTTCCTGTAGAATATTCCAGGAGGGGTAAAAAAAACCCTGACAGCAAGGCATAGGTGTGTTTCTGCAGAAGAAACAGAGAAATGTGTCCAAAAGCCTTGGTACTGAGTAGAGCAGCCACACAGACACCCCTGATTTATTTGAAATGTGGAACGTCAGACCTACTCCCACACTAACGCAATCAAAATTTGCTTTTTAACAAGATTCCCATGTAATTCATAAGCACTTTATAAATGCTTTTCATTTATAATAACATGGTTATTGAATATATATATAGTTTTTGTCTCCAGTTACTGCTGCCAAATGGATATTTGATACTAGAAGATAGGAAGCTATTAAGAAAAAAAGGAATGTAGGGTTAGAGCAGAATTGTTAGGCACCATTAATCTTATTAATTGTTCTTTCTCCACCTAAAGTTTGGGACCAGATGTTTAATGGAGAAAGTATTGTAACATTATTTTATCATGAGTTATAAAGTCAATTAATACTGGAAGAATCACACCTCTAGCATTTTACTGACATGAAATACTCAGGGGTAAAAAACTACCTCAGTTGTAACAAAAATCTTTGGGTCAGTATTTCACAAACTGAGTTCCATGGGTTAATGGTTCTTAATGTATTGCTCTTTAGGTTCCATGACGATTTCAGGGCCAGATCATTTTAGGAAGCACTTGGAGTCTTACACAGTGCATTCTCTGAAATCTTACAATTAAAAAGAAATCTGTTTTACTTTGTTTAGTCTGGAATCTCCCAAATACAATTAAGCTTAGAGCCAATTTTTTTCCCTTTAAAATGAGACCTGCTGACTACAAATTATAAAATGCTGCATTTGAGCACTAGAAGTACAGTTGGTAAACTGTTGAGTAAAGATTAATAATTGAGAAATTGCCTATATAAGGACTGAGAAACTTGCAGTTACTATACACCCTTTGATAATGGAATGAAACAATCATGCAGATCAGAGAACTTTAAGTAGAAGTTGATTTAAAAGCTTGCTGCTGTTCTCTAACCATTATGTGTTTGTACAGGGCAGTTATAACAGACAAGACAATGCTCCCACATGATATATTCAGTACCAACTTGGAATCTTTAATTTTCTGGCTGATGTTTTGTTGTGCCAAATACATTACATATCACATACAAGACAGATATTGTATTTAATTTAGAGATGAGAAACCCATTCTTAGAAAAGTAATGTGGTCGACGGTATAGAATCAGTGACACCTCTTGTAACTGTGTCTTGTAACTGCCCAGTAAAATGGAGTTTACAAAATCTTGGAGCTGCTTGAAAACTGGCTCCATGTTCTTCCAATGTTACTTGAATGTTTGTACTCTCTTTTTTTAAATGAAAAGCGATTGTTTAATTCCTTCTTAACTAATTTAGTTGATGCAGTATAACATGGTTGAAAAATAAAATGGACTTTACACTAAGAGATTTGGGTTCAAAATTCACTAGCTCTATGACTGTCTAAATTTAAATTTCACCTGTGAAGTAAATACGAAAAAATTCATTTCACCATATTATTGGGAAGATCAAATGAGTCAATGTAAACTGCCAGGCACATAGTAGGCATTCAGGAGCTGCTGATTTCTGTTTTCTATTCAGAATATTTCTTATGAAACTGTATTTTTGATATTATAAAGGAGAGGCATCTGAACAAGTTTTCTCTGCCTGATATTTTTGTTCATTTTGCTGATACTAAGAGTTAGAAAACTAATTAGAATCCCAACACTACAGAATTGTGATCATATAACATCTTTGTGTTCCACAACATGTATTTAATGTGCCCTTTATTCAAAAGAAGAATGGTATGCCATAGCACAGAGCTCCAAACTCTCTTTTGGACCAGTGGTTCATTGGTGACTGTCCTACTCCTCAGTTTGAGATGAGGACAAATGATACTAGGTGGCAGTTGTAAGACTGTTTCACTATGTCTCATCATTGGCAAACTTAAAGGACAAAATTTAATTTCCTGTCTTTCTGGAAATAATAAGAAGCCTTACAAACATTTTGGCTAGCAACAGTTCTCTGAAAAGATAACAGAAAAAAAAGATTTTATTTTCAGTGTGTGATGGGTAGGGAGGCAGGGTATGGGGATAGTAAGGACATATATTAGGAGTTGATGATTCAATTATTATCCTGTCATTTAAAACACTGTTCCAAAACCAAAGTTCTGGTACTACCATATAATAACTATGACTGCATCACTTATTGTTTACCGACATTTTTTATTGAGGTTTGTAGCTCATGATTTTACATGTGATTGTACAGAGCATTAAAAAAAATTGGAAAGATTGTACAAGGGAAAAAAAATCCAATAGATTGAAATCTTGTAGTTGTAGATGATAGATTAATGCCATGTGTAAATATATGAGAATGTTAAGAGACCAAAGCCTTCAATAGCTGTATCTTGTTCTTAAAATGTGATTTTTTTAAATCAACAGGAAATAGCTTAATTAGTTGTTACTTTAAAAAATAAACTATCATTTAAAAAAAAGATATATCTTGAATTAGATTTAATGTTTGGTCACTGGGAAAAGAGTGGAAAAAATTCTCCAAATTCTCCTTCTACTTTCCAGTGCATTCACAGAAGCCAAATGAAGGGAAACCAAGCAGACACTTTCTACCATTTTTGATTTTAAAGTTCAGCGATAGACTTTACAAAGAAGAGTTATTTATAAATTAACACATTTTGATTGTCCACAGCTCTTTCAAGACATCATCTATTATAACTTAGGATGGTAAAGGAAATCTCTATTCTCCAATGAGGCATGAAAACCAGTTTTAAATATTTTTTCCCCATCTTTCTTGATGCACAATGTCATTCAAAACATAAGACATTGTGACAACTTGAAATTCAAAGCATTAAAAAGTGTTTTAGAGGACTAGTCAGTGGTCAGCATAAGACGACACTGCTCTAGTCTCTGTATCTTGAATGCCATTAAAGAGTTGATGAAGTCATGAATTTTGCCAAACATTTTTTTGAAGTCAAACGACACATTTCATTTTGAAGCCAGGATCATTTTGTCAGTTTCACCTTCAAAAGAATAAGAGGGACTTATAATTTTTAAAAAGCTACTTTAGGTATGGATCTTAAACATATTTCCTAGTCAATGTAGTGTTGTGCCGTTGAGACAAAATTCACTCTTTTAAAATTTAAAATCCTCTGATATTGGACCTACTGTAAATCTTTAATAATTTTCACCTTACATCACAGAGTGGAAAATTCTCATTTTAAAATTATTCATTCTGAATGAAAATGTTGATCTAAATTAGATTGTTAAAAATTGGCTTTACTTTTCTCTCCTTTCAAGCTCTTTTCATTAGCATTCTAGAATGAAAGAAGCCTTGGGAATACTTTTAGGCACACTTGGATTATGGAGTACTTTGATAATGCATCATGTGTACAACTGTCTGCAGATTTTATGAATTGACCATAAAAAGTGAAGAGAGGGGGACTTGAGAGTAATATTTTCAACAGTGTAATTATTTGCTCAGTGTTAATGTAATATTCATATATATAATGAATTATCCTGTAATGTGAATATTGCCTGGTTATGAATTATTTTGCACAATGTACATAATTCCAATTTAATATTAATTTAATGTTTATTAGAAAGATTCATAATAAAGCTCTAATGGTACAAAGCTACTAATAGCATTAACTGTTGGCATACAATAGAGTAAGCAGATTAGTGTGAAAGTGAATTGAGGCAAAAATATTTATATTTAAGGAACATTTACTAAATATTCTTGTTTCCTTGAGACAAGATGTAGCTGGACAAGAGATATCTAAACAGTGTTAAAGGGGTTTAGTGTTTCCTATGGAATCATCAGGATAGAATTATAATATGGTAAATTCCAATATTTTTACTAACATATCAACAGCACTTGGTACACTGTTTAAGATTTTTATCATTCTAAATAATTTTTTTTTTCCCTTGGAACATTTTTTTCTATGTAGCTCTAATTCATGTCTTGCTACCTCACCATGAATTTGCCAACTAGGTTCTGCTCTTCTTCTTTTCACATTGTGATGGAAAAGACCTGTCCCATTCGAGGTTTTTTTTCCTTATATTGTCTTCCTTACCGTATAAATCAAAGTTCTCTTTTCACATGCCTTTTTAAAACATTGCATTTACTTTTGGAATACTCTAATGGGATACACATTAAATGGGAATATTTGAGTAACATACTAAGAGAGAGAAAGAAACATCAAAACATAGATGAAATCAAGACATTTTAATAATAATTTTAAGATCCTAAATGTTAAAGAAGTGCTTTTAATTTTTTGTTAAAGAGGTTAAAGCAATAACTTTATTGCAAGTGAGTAGGAAAAACCATAAAAACTACCTGTTTTATTGCAAAAATTACAAAATGTACAATGTTGTAAACAAGCTCTTTTCTCTGCAAGCTGTAAATAAAAAGAATCAGAATATGTATGTATGTGTACAGGTGAAAGTTAAAGATTGATTTCCCATTTAAAACAAAGAGGAAATAATCATGTGAATTAGTAAATAGGAAAGTTTCCTTTTATGGCCTAAGCAGGAAAGAAGCATCTATGAACACTTTTTAATTTCTACTAGTTTTGAAATGAAAATTTAGATATCTAGCAATATTTTTCAGATGCTCTAAGAAGGACATATTTATTGATTACAAACTTTTATTTAAGGTTGGGATCCATCAACTCTATTTTATGTGTTCAAAGAAGCATCTCATGTAGCACTGATTTGCACAAAAATGCTTCCATAAGCCATTTTGCAATGTTGCTGTTTCACTCTTGTGCTCCCATGTTTCCACCTAATTCAGTGAGGTGCAGAAATTTGACATAAGATATATTTAACATATTAGAAATGCATAGTAATTACCTATGTGGTGAGTTAAAATTATGAATTACTACACATGAACTAATTAAATCTTAATAACTTGGTACTACAATAGACTGGGAAGATTTTATATATTATTTATTTCAAATATTTCTGTTAGAGAAGAAAGGACATTGTTAGTATTTTCAGAATTGCTCAAAAGCAAGTTAGAGTTTATTTTTTTTCTCTCTCAATTTGAATTGACATGAATAGTAATTCTCTAGTTTTGTTTTGTTTTCTCCAAAAATCTCCCAAGGAGTAGCACTTTGATAGAGCCCTGATAGGCAGCTGTAAAAAAGATTCTTTAATTAGTAGGTGATTGTTGATTAGTTTATGGTTGATCTTTAGACAATCCAGAAACTACTTTTTTCTCATTCTTTTGGCCTCTACAATAATGTAGAAAGTCAGTCTTTAAAATTTTTACTGTCATTTTTTAAAGTAAGCAAACCAGTCATTGGATTTCAACATGTGAGGCAAGAAAGCTGAAAGTATTGCCTAAAGTTAAGTCTATGGGTTCTGTATAAATATTACTAATTCACTTACATGCTTATCTCCAGTATCATGTAAACATATACCACACCAGCTAAGTTAATATTAAAAGATGAAAAAAAACACTAAGATTTAAAGATCTTTCTTCACTATGTTAACATTTTTGATTAATGGGGGCTTTAAAAATACAGATAATAAACTACACTTTAATTTAGAGTAACTGAATTCATTTTACAGTAAGTTAAGGGTATTTCCATTACCTTCATTTGATTAATATATTTTCCTGATTATTTTTACTTCAAGGTAATTTTTCTCATGCCAATTGTTTTATGTCATGATTTCTAGCATAGCAATTTGTTATTCAACTAGAGAATTTTTAATTTTAATACAGTGGGAACAAAAAGGGATGCTCAAAAAACTTAAGTGTATTTCCAACCTAATTCTCCTCCACAAGATCTAGATTTTTCCATAATTATTCTTATGGGCTGTGCAAAATCCAACAATTTCTGAATCAACTAAACATGAGGTCTGTTAGTGTCCTGATCAAGCATCATGTGAACAAACCTCAACTAGAAAAAAAAACCTTCAAGTGTAAAATGTTATAAAAATATCAGTTACTAGGAAATAATAACTGGTTTGTTTCATTGGCATAATGCCTGATGGAAATTTACTAAATGGAAAATCAGATAAACACATCAGAAATATGCAGATTTATAGTTCATGGATGTCGCAGGGTATTAAAAATATAGAGTCAAGCAAAAGTGGTAAAAAACAATGTTTTAAAAATTATTAATTTATCAACAGCTGCACGTGAAAATGCATGTTAAAGAAAAAGATTCAAGTTTATGAATTCAATCCTTGCTAGTGTGAAGAGGACTAAATGAATACATGTTAAACATACACAAATTGCTATTGAAATGTATACATAATTATCTCCTTTACTGTTTTGTTTTAATTATAATCACATAAAACTTGGTAAAACAATCTCTTCCTGGGAAAGTCTTTGGGATCTTAAGTCTCTTTGAAAGCACACCAGTTATGATGCATGTGAGTTCAAAATTCTCACCCTTTCATCTTGATGCAAGAGCTTGGTATTAAGTGACAGTACTGAATGGCCTTTTGCACCAGTTTATGTGTTCAAGTGATTTTATTCAAATGGCCTATGTAGAGCAGAGGAGGCTACCTGCTTCATATTTCCATATAATGAAACACAAAAGATAATGGGCAAGGAGGTAGCATTATCAGAAACTCAGAACGGGCAGCATCAACAAGCTGAATTGAGGTAGTTTCCCCTTTGTTCTGTGAAACTAGCTTCTTATTGATGGAGTTGCTTTCACATAGATGACTGTTGGATGGGCAAAACAAGTGCTCATAATCCATGGACCACATTCACGTTTCTGAAGTTACCTTAAACATGTCTAAAAAGGATTCCTTCATTACTAAATATATTCTATGGGACAGGCTAACCACCTGCAGTTGCTAACATTGCCAAGGTGTGGCGTGATGAAACCCAGCCACCATTAAAGCTCGTGGTTCTCACGCAACTTCAAGAAAATCTGGAGGCTTAAAAAATACTCATGTCTACTCACTAAAAAGGAATGATGCTGAGGTGATATTAAGGATAGGATGTACTCTGGCACAGCACAGAATTTTTCTTTTGTCATGTATTTTAAAACTATATATAGATAGTGACTACTCTCTAAACTCTCATCTTAAAATGTTAATTTTTAGGTGGGTGGTTGGGTTTCTGGAAAAAAACATAAAAAGGAAAAAAAACCCACCAAGATATCACATATTACAAAAAGAGAAATTGTAATTTGACAAATTCAGTCTAGCTTTGCCTTCCGACGGGCTCCATGCTTGGACATTACTGGTAATGGTTCTTCAGTAATTGGAGATCTGGAAAGTTTCTTTAAAGGGACTTTTTTCCATATAAACAAAAAGAAAAAATTAGCACAAAAATATCTTATTATATTTTTAAAAATGGACATTCTCTTTGCCATTATTCTTACAGCTTTAACTCAATTGAGTGAATTTAAATTTCTAACATTAAAATGGAACTTACAAAGAGGGAAAAATGTGATCCATCCCCTGCCCCAATTCAGTACTTAAATATCTGATTGAAGCTGGCCTTTATGCATAGTGACTAGTTGGTTTATAAATAAGGACATAATAACCTGTATATTAACCTACTTGAAAGTAAGTTATGTCTCTTATTTCATCCAAAATAAACAAGCCCAACTCATTTTTCTGGTTTGTCTGCAAAACCTGTATAATTTTGTGCTTAGGTTATCCATCTAGGCAGATTGATTTCTTTTGCATGGCTCATTTGGGCCATAAAGGATTAGCAAGTTTGTATATTGAAAACAGAAGGAAAGGCAAGCGTAATGAAAAGAATAATTAATCATATAGTACATACATCAATACAGTATCTTCTAAATCTCAATCAGTTGTTTATTGGTTGGCAAACAAGTTTCACTTTTACAACAAATATTAGTAATGAGGTCATCCAACTTTGAGACCATACAAAATGGATCATAAATTTAAAAAAAATTATATGTGCTGCTAATTTACCTCTTGAATTCCTACATTACTTTAAATCCTGTCAAATAAATAAATTTTCCTGTTAATGAACAGAAGAGTTTTTGTTATTTTAATCACTTCAAAATAACTTGACCTTTTGATTCTTACTATGAGGGTGTGAATTTCCTTTAAAAATTGGTAGTGCAGGTGCCCACTTGGGGATCAGACCCAGCATTCAGCACTTTAACACCTATGGGATACCGTTTTTTTTTCACATGCAGAAGCCCACACTAGTTCTACTGACACCTCTTGATTTCTAGAATCATAGCTACTGTCTCAGTGATGAACTGCTTGCCAAATATGCTTTGCATTAAAACATGTGCACTGTAAACATAAAAATTCGTCCTGCTCTAATTTGCAAAAATGCTCTTGGAAATATTCTGACTGAATAAAGATATATAGTGAGGGAAGGAAGTCTAATTTTATTTATTTTATTTTTTTTGTAAAAAATAATTTGTTTGTATTACTAGAAAATGATTCTTATAAAGTGATAGTTCCATTTATTTATTTACTTATTTTTTGCCAGGTGAAATTTTAAAGAAGGCAAAAAAAAAAAAAATAGAAAAGAAAATAGAGAAAGAAGGATGGAAGGAAACTTTACTCTCTTACTGGTAGACAAACTTGCAAGACCAGCACGAAAGAAAAAGAAAATTTCTCTTTTTTTCCACTACATTAACAGGACTCAAATTCTGGAGGAACAGAAAGCCGACTATATGTGCAATGCTAGTATCTGTACATTACATAGAAATCGTCCGATTTTTTTTTCTGCCATTAGTTTTATCATCAATTAATACAGCAAATCATAAAATATGCATTTAGCATATAATTATAGAATTCCCTTCCATTTCATTAATTTTGTTGTTTTATTTTGTATTCCACAGCTATTCCCACTGTGGTGAATTCAGGTCGAGTGACTAAAAACCACTATGTGATACAGTTTTGCTTTGTTTTTATGTTTGTGCAGCACTCCAATCTAGATGCAGCATTGTTACTCATTTCAAACAACTGTTCTGGCCTTTTAAAAATCAGGTCCTTGTAATTATAGTAACAGAGCATCAGAGATGTTAGAACAAACACAACATAATTCAAACAAGGCCACAATGACCGCCATTTTCTTCTTATCTCGTTCATTAACATAATGAAGTCTCCATCTGACGGGGAAGGACGGGAAGGATGGGGCACAAGGGAACGTCAGCAGGTATCTTTCTCCCCTGGACTGACCTAAAAATCTCAGTTAAAAAAAAAAAGTCTGAGAGTTCGCATTTGCCTTTCAAGGACAGCGTAAAGGTTTGGGAGCACACACGAGTACCACCGCTCACACCCGCGGTGCAGTCCCGCGGCGCTCGCACCGCCGGCCCGGGGCCCTATCACCGCCTAGAGGCTGGTGATCAGATGCGCGGGTCCCTGCGGGCCTCCGTCCGGGGGGCTCCCGTCCCTGTGCGGGGGGACTATGATCCCGTCGCTGCTGCCGCGCCCCAGCTGGTAGTAGGTGTGGAGCTGATGGACGTGGCTTCTGGAGCCTAGGTTGGGCATGCTTTTGTAGTAGACGTCGTCGGCATCGCCGCCCTTGGCCGGGGCGGGGTCGGTCTGGGTGCTGGTGGTGGCGCTCTCCGCGGCGGGCACGCCGGCCAGGGCCGGCATGCTGGTGTACAGGGAGTCCCTGCGCGGCGACTGCAGCTCTTCCGTGTGCTCGTTGGTGAGCAGAGGGAAAAAGCTCTCGCTGTGGTCCTGGGGGATCCGCCTTCTGGAGTAATGGTGAGGCTGGTGGTTCTCCGCAGAGTACACTCTCGGTGGCAGCAAAGGAGCATCGGATTCCTCGTGGATGAGTTCCAGGCCCAGGCTTTCCTCATGGTTAAAGGAGCTGGCATCGTCCAGGACAATGGCGTCCTCCTCACTCCCGCTGCCAAGGTTATTCACCAGCTTGTTCATCAGATTCCTGTTCTGCTCGCTGGAGCGCTCTTGGTTGTTCAGGTAGGACGGGATATAGTTGGAAGTGAGTTCCTTCAGAATCTTTTTCTCTAGGGCGGTCTCGTTCTGGGTGTAGCCGCGGTCTATGATTTGCACACAGTTGCTCAGGTACTGGCCGCTGGCAATGCTGTAACTGTTGCCATGGTTACCATTCAGTGGTAGAGTATCCATGACACTTGTATCCCTGGCATTGTTCAGAAGCCCCTCTGGAAAAGATTACAAAACACTATGACGTTTCTATCCAACCAGCCACAGGACGCACACACACAAATACAAAAGCAGAAATATCTGACTATGAAGTATGTATAAATTGCTAGCATTTTTAATTAAGCATAAAATTACATCTGTATGAACACATCGACATATATATTTGGGCAATTGATAGAAATCTTACAAATGGAAAAGAAGTATTCAAAGGAAATCACTAAAAGAATTTTTAAAAAACAGTATAAATTTACAATTTCCACACAAACATTGCCTGACATATTTGAAGCATATTTGGTTATGGCTTAGAAAAAAATAACGCAAAATTTTGGTGTAATCATTCATAGCTTTCAATTTATACACATCAAAGTCAATGCAACAATCCATTACCTTTTATTTTATATGTTGCCTTAACATTGAAATAGTTATAATTTAAATTAACATAATTCATGTGTGGTGCTTTGAATATACCAGTCAAATGTAAAATAATCAAGCAGTTTCTAAAATTGATATATAATTTGATGAGATTAAAAATAATCCCAACATACAAAACCACAAAAGGATTATGTTAAATTTTTCAGAACTATGTAGTCATGAAATAATGTTTGGTCAAATAGCACATCAAAAAAATTTGCACATAGGAACTCATATTTGTACTTGCTATTTTTTTTTCTGCTACAAGCACTTGGTTACTTATAAATTAATCCATCAGTGATTGTTTAGGGTCATTAGGTACAAAAGAATGTGTAAAGACACAGGGATCTGAGTCCTAAAACCATAGTGTCAGTATTAAAGGTTCCATTTCATAATGAGTGGTAACTCTGTGCATATTAAACTTTGGGTTTAAAAGAGATTAAACATTTTATTCTGGGAAGAAACAGCTGTAGTGAAATAAATTTGACCACATGCTTCTTCAAGTTTTTGCATTCTCTTGAATAAACAGAAATCCAAGGATCTATAATAATTCCATAAATCAATTCAAATGCAACCACAAAAGTAAATAAAACACAAACATTTAACCAATACTGGTAAATAGGAAAGGGTACTTCTTTATAGAAGAATTAATTAAATAACTCTATTCAACTTGTTAATACACTTCTAACTTGTGAAAATACAGCATTCATTCTATATCTGTGATGCAGTTTTATTTATCAAAAGTGAATGAGCTCATCACTGGTTTAAATAACGTAGCCCAAATATATCAATTTTTACACAGACTTCTCATGTGTACTCTATATTCAAGTGACAGTTTCCAAAAACAGCAATGCATAAAATGCATTAAAAAGGCGGCCATCACAGACATAGGGTGAAGCGATTTATTTTCATGTTATAAGGTATCTTATAGACAAATCCACAATGTTAAGAAAAAATAAAAATAAATGCTTTTTAAAGGGCCGTATGTGATGGGTGATTGCTGCTGCAGAGGCTGCCATGGTTATGCTTGATGGTTATGGTCGAGTGACTGATGCATTGAAACACGATTATTATTTCTGTTGTCAATGCATTAGGTGCTATGTGCAAACAGCTGCAGTAAAATAAATTTGGTATGTTGCATGTGACATTTGTATGATGGCATGTACTAATAAAAATTAAAAGTTCATGAATGACTTAGCAAAAATAAATGCTTAATTTAAAAACAATTTAACTCACACAAACATTACATGAGACTTAACTATGTTGATTATGTGACACAGTAAAAGAATCAGACAACAAAAGCGTCTAATCTCTATTAACATATATTTATATAAGTCAATTCATAGGCTCTTTATTCTTTAAATTGTGAGATGAACTGTTTTTAATAACTACATCATCTATATGTGATGCAATAAAAGTGAACTAAAAAAAATTACATTTGATATGCAATGTTTAGCTTTACTCCCATACTTGTCTCTCTGTAGGGCTCTAAACGACAGCATGAAGAAAAGGAAAGAAAAAACAACAAGTAAGCTTACAGCGACAGTAGAAGAAACATGAGTAAAAAGCAAATTGATGATATGCAGAAAAAAGAGTCAAAGGAAATAATTTCCACTGCCCCAAAAATTCATGAGTCTGTGTTACATGGTTTATCATAATTAAAAATATTGAAATGTTATTTAGAAAACAAGAAACCCCCCTTAACACATGCTAATAAAGAGTCTTTAATAAGTGTTTCTACCACTGTAAATTTCAAACAAATATACATTTATTTTTAAAGTTAAGATTCTCACACCAACCAAGGAGAGTAAAAATTTGAGGGCAAGCCATGACTATTTCCACAAATATATTTCAATATTATGCATCTATCTCTATGTATGTATGTATGTCAGTACATACCTTCTTCTAAAGAATGTTATTTAACTTCAATTTTTTTTCAGTAAAATTATTTTAAAAATCTTGTATACACAGAGAAAAACATGGTTGAAGGTTTCTATAATTGTGGCTTTTTTCCCTTATGTATCTTCTCTTTCCATGTACAAAGGTTATTTTTCCCCCACCTATACAAGTGCTTCTTATCATTTGTGAATAATCATTTCTGGAGCTCATATTCAAAAATTGTATAACTATGGAGAAAGAAAAAGATTAAATCCAACCATTATTCTGTATCAAGAAGATGTGAGGGGAAATGAAAATACCATCAATGTCAGGTTTTCTTTGGGAATATGGCACAATCATATGCAATCAAACATTTTTAGAGTTGATCTTTTAAAAAATAATCCTAGCAAAATTATTTGTAAAAAAAGTCATATTTTAATCAGGTCAGAAGAACTGTTCTTGCTGATTTTGCTTATAAGAAGGTTAAATCATCACAAAATAAAAACCGGAGAATTCATTGGGATATATGATCTCAAGAGATTCCAACTTGTAATTTAACTACTGCTTTAAAGATACAGTTTTTGTACATTAAATGTTGATTTGTTTCCCACTGAAAAGCCAACAATATTTCAAAACATAGACCAATAATATTTCAAAACGCAGAGGAAATTTCTTTTAAAGCTTCAAAATAGCTTTACCAAAAGAATTTGAAACAAAGAGCCAAACCAGTATAGTGATGCATGGAAATTGTTTGTAGGCATTAAGGCTCTTCCTTAAATGACAGAACTGTAGAACTGAAAAGCACATTAGAGATAACTGAAGGTCAATGCCTTCTTTTCGGAGATGGGAACACTGTAGCCAAGAGAGTCTGAGCCTTATCCACCACTACCCTGCTAAGAATGGCAGAACTGGCACCAGAAAGGGAATCTCCTAGATTTCTTCTGTGCATTCCTAACCACCTCCTTCTCTTCAAATCTGCCTTAGGCTGTGAAAGTCGTAACATAATATTTATGTACATACTTTATAATAATATTACTTTGAATGCTTAACAACTAAAATGTATTCTTCACTATATCCCATCTTAAGGACATATGTCTTTCTTTAAAGTTTTAGAATCGAATTAAATTTTTTTAAATGCAAATTACTTTATAAAATCATGACTTCCCCTCTATATTATGTTTTGTCAGCATGTTTATCTACAATGAAATTTATCTTACAAAAATTGAATTCTCCAATATTGACAAGATGATAATGCTCTTTAAATACCGTGCATGTCATTTTAAATACTCCACAGACAGAATCTGAGTCTGATATAAAGTATATTATTTATCCTTAGTACTGACTCTATATGCTTCAGTAACACTATAAACGTATCTTTCCATATTTTAAGTAAAGGAATTACAAACATATACTTTCAATCTGAGTGCTTCTTTGGATGGCACTGCTGCAGCTGAATAAGAGGACAAAACCAAGTGGTAGTTCCACATGAGCCGCTCCAGTACATACCGACCCACCTACATCTCATGTAAGATTTCACCTTGCCAGTAAGAATGTAAGTGCATTCATCTGAAAGCATAAGATTAGTAGCAATATGATAATCACCAAGATTTGTTTTTGGTCAGTGGTAAAAAGAATTACTGTAAGCAGTACCACACTTTCTTAACATCTTAAAAAAATATTGAAAACATAAAATAGTTGAACAATTCCACTTCTGATTCTGAAAACATTAATAAGGTTATTTACTTTTGTTTTTATGAATAGTCAGTAGAATTTATCTACTTTTCTGGTGTAAATGACAAATCCATTCAGAAGAATCCTTTGGGTATTTACTGATAATCTTAATAGCAATATCCAGTAACAGATTCCACAGGAATAAAAGTTTGCATCGATATTGTTACTCATTTCAAACAACTGTTCTGGCCTTTTAAAAATCAGGTCCTTGTAATTATAGTAACAGAGCATCAGAGATGTTAGAACAAACACAACATAATTCAAACAAGGCCACAATGACCGCCATTTTCTTCTTATCTCGTTCATTAACATAATGAAGTCTCCATCTGACGGGGAAGGACGGGAAGGATGGGGCACAAGGGAACGTCAGCAGGTATCTTTCTCCCCTGGACTGACCTAAAAATCTCAGTTAAAAAAAAAAAGTCTGAGAGTTCGCATTTGCCTTTCAAGGACAGCGTAAAGGTTTGGGAGCACACACGAGTACCACCGCTCACACCCGCGGTGCAGTCCCGCGGCGCTCGCACCGCCGGCCCGGGGCCCTATCACCGCCTAGAGGCTGGTGATCAGATGCGCGGGTCCCTGCGGGCCTCCGTCCGGGGGGCTCCCGTCCCTGTGCGGGGGGACTATGATCCCGTCGCTGCTGCCGCGCCCCAGCTGGTAGTAGGTGTGGAGCTGATGGACGTGGCTTCTGGAGCCTAGGTTGGGCATGCTTTTGTAGTAGACGTCGTCGGCATCGCCGCCCTTGGCCGGGGCGGGGTCGGTCTGGGTGCTGGTGGTGGCGCTCTCCGCGGCGGGCACGCCGGCCAGGGCCGGCATGCTGGTGTACAGGGAGTCCCTGCGCGGCGACTGCAGCTCTTCCGTGTGCTCGTTGGTGAGCAGAGGGAAAAAGCTCTCGCTGTGGTCCTGGGGGATCCGCCTTCTGGAGTAATGGTGAGGCTGGTGGTTCTCCGCAGAGTACACTCTCGGTGGCAGCAAAGGAGCATCGGATTCCTCGTGGATGAGTTCCAGGCCCAGGCTTTCCTCATGGTTAAAGGAGCTGGCATCGTCCAGGACAATGGCGTCCTCCTCACTCCCGCTGCCAAGGTTATTCACCAGCTTGTTCATCAGATTCCTGTTCTGCTCGCTGGAGCGCTCTTGGTTGTTCAGGTAGGACGGGATATAGTTGGAAGTGAGTTCCTTCAGAATCTTTTTCTCTAGGGCGGTCTCGTTCTGGGTGTAGCCGCGGTCTATGATTTGCACACAGTTGCTCAGGTACTGGCCGCTGGCAATGCTGTAACTGTTGCCATGGTTACCATTCAGTGGTAGAGTATCCATGACACTTGTATCCCTGGCATTGTTCAGAAGCCCCTCTGGAAAAGATTACAAAACACTATGACGTTTCTATCCAACCAGCCACAGGACGCACACACACAAATACAAAAGCAGAAATATCTGACTATGAAGTATGTATAAATTGCTAGCATTTTTAATTAAGCATAAAATTACATCTGTATGAACACATCGACATATATATTTGGGCAATTGATAGAAATCTTACAAATGGAAAAGAAGTATTCAAAGGAAATCACTAAAAGAATTTTTAAAAAACAGTATAAATTTACAATTTCCACACAAACATTGCCTGACATATTTGAAGCATATTTGGTTATGGCTTAGAAAAAAATAACGCAAAATTTTGGTGTAATCATTCATAGCTTTCAATTTATACACATCAAAGTCAATGCAACAATCCATTACCTTTTATTTTATATGTTGCCTTAACATTGAAATAGTTATAATTTAAATTAACATAATTCATGTGTGGTGCTTTGAATATACCAGTCAAATGTAAAATAATCAAGCAGTTTCTAAAATTGATATATAATTTGATGAGATTAAAAATAATCCCAACATACAAAACCACAAAAGGATTATGTTAAATTTTTCAGAACTATGTAGTCATGAAATAATGTTTGGTCAAATAGCACATCAAAAAAATTTGCACATAGGAACTCATATTTGTACTTGCTATTTTTTTTTCTGCTACAAGCACTTGGTTACTTATAAATTAATCCATCAGTGATTGTTTAGGGTCATTAGGTACAAAAGAATGTGTAAAGACACAGGGATCTGAGTCCTAAAACCATAGTGTCAGTATTAAAGGTTCCATTTCATAATGAGTGGTAACTCTGTGCATATTAAACTTTGGGTTTAAAAGAGATTAAACATTTTATTCTGGGAAGAAACAGCTGTAGTGAAATAAATTTGACCACATGCTTCTTCAAGTTTTTGCATTCTCTTGAATAAACAGAAATCCAAGGATCTATAATAATTCCATAAATCAATTCAAATGCAACCACAAAAGTAAATAAAACACAAACATTTAACCAATACTGGTAAATAGGAAAGGGTACTTCTTTATAGAAGAATTAATTAAATAACTCTATTCAACTTGTTAATACACTTCTAACTTGTGAAAATACAGCATTCATTCTATATCTGTGATGCAGTTTTATTTATCAAAAGTGAATGAGCTCATCACTGGTTTAAATAACGTAGCCCAAATATATCAATTTTTACACAGACTTCTCATGTGTACTCTATATTCAAGTGACAGTTTCCAAAAACAGCAATGCATAAAATGCATTAAAAAGGCGGCCATCACAGACATAGGGTGAAGCGATTTATTTTCATGTTATAAGGTATCTTATAGACAAATCCACAATGTTAAGAAAAAATAAAAATAAATGCTTTTTAAAGGGCCGTATGTGATGGGTGATTGCTGCTGCAGAGGCTGCCATGGTTATGCTTGATGGTTATGGTCGAGTGACTGATGCATTGAAACACGATTATTATTTCTGTTGTCAATGCATTAGGTGCTATGTGCAAACAGCTGCAGTAAAATAAATTTGGTATGTTGCATGTGACATTTGTATGATGGCATGTACTAATAAAAATTAAAAGTTCATGAATGACTTAGCAAAAATAAATGCTTAATTTAAAAACAATTTAACTCACACAAACATTACATGAGACTTAACTATGTTGATTATGTGACACAGTAAAAGAATCAGACAACAAAAGCGTCTAATCTCTATTAACATATATTTATATAAGTCAATTCATAGGCTCTTTATTCTTTAAATTGTGAGATGAACTGTTTTTAATAACTACATCATCTATATGTGATGCAATAAAAGTGAACTAAAAAAAATTACATTTGATATGCAATGTTTAGCTTTACTCCCATACTTGTCTCTCTGTAGGGCTCTAAACGACAGCATGAAGAAAAGGAAAGAAAAAACAACAAGTAAGCTTACAGCGACAGTAGAAGAAACATGAGTAAAAAGCAAATTGATGATATGCAGAAAAAAGAGTCAAAGGAAATAATTTCCACTGCCCCAAAAATTCATGAGTCTGTGTTACATGGTTTATCATAATTAAAAATATTGAAATGTTATTTAGAAAACAAGAAACCCCCCTTAACACATGCTAATAAAGAGTCTTTAATAAGTGTTTCTACCACTGTAAATTTCAAACAAATATACATTTATTTTTAAAGTTAAGATTCTCACACCAACCAAGGAGAGTAAAAATTTGAGGGCAAGCCATGACTATTTCCACAAATATATTTCAATATTATGCATCTATCTCTATGTATGTATGTATGTCAGTACATACCTTCTTCTAAAGAATGTTATTTAACTTCAATTTTTTTTCAGTAAAATTATTTTAAAAATCTTGTATACACAGAGAAAAACATGGTTGAAGGTTTCTATAATTGTGGCTTTTTTCCCTTATGTATCTTCTCTTTCCATGTACAAAGGTTATTTTTCCCCCACCTATACAAGTGCTTCTTATCATTTGTGAATAATCATTTCTGGAGCTCATATTCAAAAATTGTATAACTATGGAGAAAGAAAAAGATTAAATCCAACCATTATTCTGTATCAAGAAGATGTGAGGGGAAATGAAAATACCATCAATGTCAGGTTTTCTTTGGGAATATGGCACAATCATATGCAATCAAACATTTTTAGAGTTGATCTTTTAAAAAATAATCCTAGCAAAATTATTTGTAAAAAAAGTCATATTTTAATCAGGTCAGAAGAACTGTTCTTGCTGATTTTGCTTATAAGAAGGTTAAATCATCACAAAATAAAAACCGGAGAATTCATTGGGATATATGATCTCAAGAGATTCCAACTTGTAATTTAACTACTGCTTTAAAGATACAGTTTTTGTACATTAAATGTTGATTTGTTTCCCACTGAAAAGCCAACAATATTTCAAAACATAGACCAATAATATTTCAAAACGCAGAGGAAATTTCTTTTAAAGCTTCAAAATAGCTTTACCAAAAGAATTTGAAACAAAGAGCCAAACCAGTATAGTGATGCATGGAAATTGTTTGTAGGCATTAAGGCTCTTCCTTAAATGACAGAACTGTAGAACTGAAAAGCACATTAGAGATAACTGAAGGTCAATGCCTTCTTTTCGGAGATGGGAACACTGTAGCCAAGAGAGTCTGAGCCTTATCCACCACTACCCTGCTAAGAATGGCAGAACTGGCACCAGAAAGGGAATCTCCTAGATTTCTTCTGTGCATTCCTAACCACCTCCTTCTCTTCAAATCTGCCTTAGGCTGTGAAAGTCGTAACATAATATTTATGTACATACTTTATAATAATATTACTTTGAATGCTTAACAACTAAAATGTATTCTTCACTATATCCCATCTTAAGGACATATGTCTTTCTTTAAAGTTTTAGAATCGAATTAAATTTTTTTAAATGCAAATTACTTTATAAAATCATGACTTCCCCTCTATATTATGTTTTGTCAGCATGTTTATCTACAATGAAATTTATCTTACAAAAATTGAATTCTCCAATATTGACAAGATGATAATGCTCTTTAAATACCGTGCATGTCATTTTAAATACTCCACAGACAGAATCTGAGTCTGATATAAAGTATATTATTTATCCTTAGTACTGACTCTATATGCTTCAGTAACACTATAAACGTATCTTTCCATATTTTAAGTAAAGGAATTACAAACATATACTTTCAATCTGAGTGCTTCTTTGGATGGCACTGCTGCAGCTGAATAAGAGGACAAAACCAAGTGGTAGTTCCACATGAGCCGCTCCAGTACATACCGACCCACCTACATCTCATGTAAGATTTCACCTTGCCAGTAAGAATGTAAGTGCATTCATCTGAAAGCATAAGATTAGTAGCAATATGATAATCACCAAGATTTGTTTTTGGTCAGTGGTAAAAAGAATTACTGTAAGCAGTACCACACTTTCTTAACATCTTAAAAAAATATTGAAAACATAAAATAGTTGAACAATTCCACTTCTGATTCTGAAAACATTAATAAGGTTATTTACTTTTGTTTTTATGAATAGTCAGTAGAATTTATCTACTTTTCTGGTGTAAATGACAAATCCATTCAGAAGAATCCTTTGGGTATTTACTGATAATCTTAATAGCAATATCCAGTAACAGATTCCACAGGAATAAAAGTTTGCATCGATACGGTATTATTTTAACTTTTGCATCTTGAGATGTTCACTTTGGTAGTGTTTAAAACTGTTCTGTCCTTAGAAAATTCCTTTACTTTGGGATACCAGTAAAAATAAAATAAGAGATACCATATTAGGAAAAACATATAGATTAACAATTGTTTGTTTTCCATTATATATATAAAACACTAGAAATTATATGAATAATCACAAATACTAACCCAAATGATCTAAATTTATTACATGTATTAAAAAGTCCCCAACAACTCTTCGCATAAGGTGAAAAATGTAGAATAGATTTAATTTGCAGATATGGTGTAAATCTTCATTTAACATCATTCAAAACTGACTATGTTTTGATGTTTATAATGACCTGATTATCTGTCATAGCCTATTGAAAATAAAGAAAAAAAACCCCACACAAGCCTTTAGAAAGGTTTGCCACATTGCTCTGCCAAACCGTATTTGGTGAACTGTGTAATGTACACTTCACTGAGTGCCACAGCGAAATAGGGACATTGACAAATGAGAGACAATTAAGAGGTGGGTAACCATGAAGAAGGACCCAGAAATATTCCCACACTGATGGCACTTAGCTGATGTTACCAGGGAGCTGGGGCCTAAAAGAACAGATTCGCTGCTTTTAAGGATGAGAGCAGAAGGATGCTTTGCTCTTTGTTGCTCTAGAGGGCAAACCTAAGCACATGGCTAGAGGCAAATTTCAGCTTGGTGAAAGGAAAATATATATATAACAAATGGAGCATTTCAGCAATGGAATATTGAAATCCTGAGGGGAAGAGGGCTCCGTTAGAGGAAATTCTTGATTCTTGAG